CCCCCCATTAGAATGAGAACTGCTTGAAGGCAAGGACTTCTTGCCACCCTTCCCTTTTTTGTATGCCTAGCCCTTAGGATCGTGCCTGGCAGATATTAAGTCCTTAATAAATGCTTATTGACTGACTAACCGACTGTGTATATTCCAAAGCATTCCATGGTCTCACATTCTGTATTTAGAAGCCTCTTTCAGGATATTATTTGTTCTAAAACCTCTTCCTAATGATTCCATCATATATAATAGAGTAGTTATGATACCTGTTTTATTTTTTTCTCAAAATGTTACTATCCTTTTGGCCATTTTCCAGAGGGGGAAAAAGTCTCTGTGCCATTTGCCAAATTTATCCTTTTCCATTTCCCAGCAGCATATTCCAGGGCTCTAAAAAACACTAAAGTTAGGTAAACAAAAGTGGCATTCAAATACAAAATGGGAGAGAACTCTGATAATATTCTAATGAAAATTTTGAAATTTGGAAACTATTGGTTGGAGGTTTAACCTTCCATTGTCATGAGGGGTTTTTAAGTTTACCTCTTTCAACCTTTCCAGAGGCTTTACCATCACAGCTCTTTCTTTTCTTTCCTCCTTCCCTCCCCCTGATGCTCTCCTCCCCTTTCCTCTCCTTTATCCTTCTCCCATATTCTCTTCTCTTTCCCCTTTCTCTCTCCTCCCCTCCCCTTCCTTTTTCTCCTCTTTCATCTCATCTCTCCCTCCTCCTCCTCCTCCTCCTCCTCTTCCTCCTCTTCCTTCTCTCTCTCTCTCTCCCCCATTTCTCTCCCCCCCCCAACATTTCTCTTCTTCCTTCCTCTTGTGAATGAAGTCAGATAGAATTTTTTCCTGTTGTCTGGATTCCATAGGGAAGATTTCTGTTAGTAAATGTGGCCTTTCTGAGTAATGCACATATTTTTGTTACAGAAAGGGCTTGAAGAGTATCTATAGGAAACGTACTATCCTCACACATAGTTGAGAATGGCATCAATTAAACATGATCAGTGTGAGGCAGTTGTGAAATTTAGCCAAACTGATTAAACAAAGCAATTTATGTAAAACAGTTTGCAAAACTTAAAATCTTAAATAAATATTAGTTATCATCATCATTCTATCAATGAGGAAATGGGAACAAATATTCTCTATAAAGTAGTGGAAAAAGCTCTGCTCTTCAAGTGTGCATCACAGCTGCAACGCAGTAGGCAAATCCTCTCATCTACTAAACATCAATCTTCTCATAAGCAAAATGGGCAAAATAATACCTGTCCTACTTACCTCACAGTGTTCTGAAGCTATATGAATTGGGAAGCTATATGAATGGACATTTTAATATCATTACTTATCAAATCCATGGTAGCCCATTATTTCTAAATCAGAGAATGAAAACTGGGATGTTTGTTGGAACAGAAAACGTTCATGTATAAAACATGGAATGTTCAAGTTGGAAAGGACCTGAGAACATAGAATGTTAGATCTATGAGAGACCTTAGAACATAAACTCTTAGAATATATACTTATGCAGCTGAAAGAGAATTAATGTTATGGAATGTGAGAACATAATGTTTATGTGGGAAACAATGCTAGAGACCATGTTAATCAAATTATTGATTTGGATGAAGAAAATGAGGCCCAGGGAGGCTGAATGACTCTCATATGATTTTGTTGTTGTCATTCAGTCATTTCAGTCTTGTCTGACTCTGTGACCACATTTGGTATTTTCTGGGCAAACATACTGGAGTGTTTTGCCATTTCCTTCTCCAGATCATTTTATAGATGAGGAAACTGAGGCAAACAGGGTTAAGAGACGTGCCCAGGATCACACAGCTAGTCTGAGGCTAGATTTTAACTCAGGAAGATGAATTTTCCCGACTCCAAGCCTGGTACTCTATCCACTGCACCACTTACCTGCCCTTCATATGATTATACAGCTAGTTGGTGAGCTATGGCAGAGCCTAAACTAGAACCCACAACTTCTGATCTTCCTATCCCACCCAAAACTTCAGGACTCTTTCCACTGCATTATTGTATTAAAAGATTGAAATATTTTTTTCTTAGTACATTTTACGAGTCTTCCAAGCAAAGTGGAATCTAGAATAAAATCAATATTTTTAAAAATCTTAATGAGTCGTGAAATGAAATGACCTTCGCAGTGTTCATTCAATACCTGGCTTCAGCAGAGAGTTGGAAATTAAAGCACGTCATTGGGCACCAAGCATCACAAAATTCACACCTGTTATGATCATTTGATAATAACATCTCCCCTTTGTCCACCAACGTATAGCTTTCAGAGCATGCTCATATTATCATTTCATTTGATGATTTCAACAACTCTATAAGGTAGTGTAGGTATTATCACCCTTGTATGACAAATAATGAGTAAGGAGATTAAGAACTTTGCCCGGGCTGACACAGCAAGGCGTGGTGGAATAAGGACTAGGAATAAGAACACTTGGCTCCCAGTTCTCCCCAGAACGCTTTAAAGCTCTCCTCTTACTCCAGACTAATAAGTAGGAACATTTAGCTTAAACCCATGCCATACAGAAATTATTTTAATTTATCTGTTCATTCACTTTTTTATTCATGTGTCTGTCTATCTATCTATCTATATGTCTACTTGCCTAATCTGCTTATTTAATTAGTTAATTAGCCAGCTTCAGACAAGACTGGTATGTATTGAATGTTTATTATGTTATTAAGGAATTAAGTATAGTTGAAAGAGTCCTAGACTTGGAGTCACAAGAACTGGGTTTGAATTCCAGCTTAGACTTCATGAGTCTCAGCTCCCTCATCTGTTAAATGAGAATAACAATGTTTATACAGTCTCCAGCCCCTAGTTTCTTCTGGTTTCTTTCAGGATTCAACTGAACTTTCTCTGAGTCTCTCCCCTACACCCTCTAGTTGCAAATGCCTTCCCGTCTCAGATTGACTTCCCTCTACTCTGTAGATATCTTATATGGAAGTATCAGATACTTCCTCCCTGTATGACACTGGGAAGGTCACTTCATCTGTGAGCCTTCATGTTCCATTATTTAAAACTGGGTGAATGATCTTTTCAGTATTTAGTATCATAGGATTATAGCTCTAGAGTTGAAAGAGATCTCAAATTCCATTTAGTCTAATACTCTTATCTGACAGATGAGGAAACTGAGGCCTAGGGAGATCAAATCATGACTTGCTTATTACGGTCCCTTAGGTAGCAAGCATGAGGCTGACTTAGAACTTGAGTCCTTTGACCCTAGAGTTAGTATCCTTTCAACTCCATGCTGTCTTATGGACATACTTGTGCCAAGTGATTAGTAAACTTTACAGTTTGTTGTTATTTTTTGTAGAATGTTGGTTTATAATGCATTTTTCTTTTTAACGTTTTTCATTTTAGCTTTACACGCCCAGGGAAAGGATCATGGCTGGGTAAAGGCAGCCCAGAGTCAGGTTCGGAACAGTCCAGTATGTCCTTAGAAAGCCTTGTCTTTGGAGCTGGTTACTGCAAGCCTTCCTTCTCAGAGGTAAAGTCCAAGGTGCATGTGAAACTTGACTATGTCAAGTTGTGTTTGACCGTGAATGATTTCCTCCTTCCCCAAAATCATTTATTCTCTGATTTCTGTTCTAAGGACTGCCCCTATAGAATCATAGTTTCTTCTGAAATGAATCCTGTAAAAGGAGGCTTTGTCAGGTTATGGCTACTATTATCTTAGAGTGTCATCTAGTCCAACACTATTCCTCCTCACCAAGTCTCCCTCTTTTTCATAGATGAAAGCAATGATATCCAGAGAAGGAGAAGTAACTTCCCCAAGATCATTCAAATGTAATCAGTATATGTGAAGCACATCTAGTTTTTTCCGGATCTCAAACCATATTTTTCCCACTATACTACACTGCCTTCTGTATACCCTCTAAGAAGCAATTTCAAGCCCACATCACGTTATTCATTAAGTCAATATCCATTAAGAACCTATCATATGCAATGTGTTGTAAGAGATAGAAAGTTAGATAAGCTTACACTCATGGAGCTTGCAGGATATTTATGAGAGATAACATGGTTGGAGAGGCATTTTGAAATAATACCTATGATGCCAGGAAGTGATAAAGTCCTTCTTCTGACACATACTGCAAGGTGACATTGGACAAGTCAATTAATTTCTCTCTCTTAGACTATAAGTTACAGAACAACCATAGACCTGTGTATATAGAGGGAATTTCTTCATATGGAAGTTTCCTATATTATTGAAATTATAGATCCCATCCTTTGTCAACACCAGTATGTCAATAGCTGAGATATAAAGTGGAATATTATTAGTGCCTAAGAAATATATTAGTTCCTAAGAAAAGTAATTACCAAATTGGGAAATCAGGGAAGGCTTCATGAAGGATGGTAGGGACCATGATATGATAGAAGTACTTGTAGAACAAGAATCAAATAACTAGGGTTCAAATCTTAGCTTTCTTACTTATTGTGCCAATGTGACTTTGGGCAAAGCACTTTCTGGACCTCAATTTCCCTATCAGCAAAATGAAGAGTTTGGACTATATAAACTCTAAAGCCCTCTCTAGATATGAATTCTATGTTCCTATGATTTCCCCAGGCAGAGATGAGTGGGGAAGATATTCCAACTATAGTAAATTGTTAAAGCGAAGACTTAGAGTCAGAAAGTTTCTCAATAGGGCATGGGTAATGGTGACTGTTACACATTAACCAGGGAGTTGAATGTCTCAAGCTAACATTCAGAAATAAAGCTGGGGGAAGCTAGGTGACATAGTAGACAGAGTATTGGCCCTGTAGTCAGGAGGACCTGAGTTCATATCTAGTCTCATAACTTACTAGCTATGTGACCCTGAACAAGTCACTTAACCCTGATTGCTTCCAAAAAGAAAGGAAGGAGGGAAGGAAGAAAGGGAGAAAGAAAGAAAGAGAGAGAGAGAGAGAGAGAGAGAGAGAGAGAGAGAGAGAGAGAGAGAGAAAGAGAGACAGAGAGACAGAGAGAGAAAGAAAGTTGAAAATTACGGTGGAAGCTGATTGGCAAGTGCCCTTAGTTATAAGGAATCATTGACAGTTTTTGAGCAAGAATATGACCTGATAAATTCTGTTCATTGGGAAGATTAATCTGGCTTGTTATGGATGATATATTGAAAAGAGATTTGATGGATGGAAACCTGTAATATGGATATTACAAACTAGTAAACAAATATTAGGGTCATAAAATCACAGATCTAGAGTTCGAAGGGACCTCACATCCCATGTAGTAGAATCTCCTTCCCCTCACCACCATCTTATAGATTCAGAAACAGGGTCTTGAGACATTAAATGATGTACTCAAAATCACATAGGTACTGCCAGAGGTGGGATTCATACCTAATGACCTCTGAATTCAGAGCCAATGTTCCTCCCACTGTACTATGTTACCTCCTTGTCTAGGGTAAAAAGATATTAGGTCCTGAAATAAGATTGTGCAATAGCAATAGGGAGGAAAGGGAAGAATAAGGGGATGAGAGAGATTGCAGAAGCAGATCCACCATTAATATAGAATTCTGCGTTTCACACCTTACCTTTGTCCATCCTCTGAGCCTTATAAAGGATGCATTAGTAACTAGCTTATTTTTTAAGTAGTAATGTGAAAGGCTTTTATGGTCCAAGGTGTGTCCCACTCCTCCCTCTCCCCCAAAGGTGGAAATGTTCTGCCTTCCCTCGTGAACACAATGAAGTCCTGCTCAATCTGCAGGGAACGTCTTGTAATGTGCTGCTTAACCATTGAATCATCCCTCCCTGGCTTCATTTTCCAGCATGCAGAGACTTCATTTCCAAAGCTGTAGGGGGTCTGAGTGTCTCTTGGTACAAACTCTTAGCTCCACCATTAGCGTTAATGGGAAAAACACAGGGAACATGCAACCACAGCACACTTAAAGGGCCTCATTGAGAAGGGATCATTTTGGACCTCACAAGGAAAGAGAAGTTTCCATTAGAAATTGGGCAGTAGGGCACAGTAGAGAAAGGGTCAGGAGTTGGAAAAAAAAAGGTTTTCTAGTCCTGATGCTGACCCCTACTAGCTCTATGACCTTGGGCAAGAATCTTTTTTATCCTTCATTTCCTCATCTCTAAAATAAAGATAATCATTGTGTGACCCAATCCATAGGGTTGCTTAAAAAGATAACAGTTTGTATGTCAGGATAGCAATTTGTACGTCCAAAAAGTACTATCTAAATGTGACCTAGTAGTAGTATAATTGAATTCTTCCTTTGGTTCCATATTATGGCATGGAGATGTGCTGGTTTCTCAAACGTCAGTGGAGCCAAGTTCTAGCAGGTTGTACTAATCTAGCAAGGTGTTAGTATGGTCTCAATAACAGACTGTGCTTATTAATCAGATGTTATAGAATCACAGATTTAGAGCAGAAGGGGCCTTAGAGGCCACTGAATCCAAGCACTTCATCTTGCAGCTGAGGAAACTGTGGTTAAGAGTGTTGAAGTGACTTGCCCAGGGCCAGACAGCTAGTAGGTGTTATGTCAGGATTTGAATTCATGTCTTCCTGAGTCTCAGTCCAGGAATCTAACAACACCATGCTCTGTCTCTAGAACCAGCCTAGCTAGGTTTAGAGAAGCTCATCACTAGGCTGGACAGAGGGTGATGGGTTATCTGAATGTAGAAACTCTTAGGGACTGTCTATTAATTTATAGAGGTACCCAAGATCATAAGATCAAAGATCTAATGTTAGTGGAAGGAACCTCAGAGGCAATCCCTGAGTCCAACCATTTCTTTTACAGAAGAGGAAGCTGAGACCCAGGGAAGCTGTATGGTTTTATGAATGTCACATAGGTAATAAGTGGCAAAAATTAGATTTTAATCCACGTTGTTTGACTCCAGAATCAGTGCTCTTTCTACAAACTACATTGTCTTTCATAGGGAGGAATTGGTGGAGGAGTGTCCAAATTGAAGAAATCAGGGATCCCTGACAGATTTAAGTATGTGTTATGGTTATTAATAACAAAAAATAAACAAACTACTGAGTGCAATATAAATGCAAACAGTTGTTATTAGGTCATGTACTAAGGACTTATTTCAATGATTCACTCTAGTGTGGAGGTGACCATGGCTTCAGTATCAATGAAATACAAACTTTTGCAGGTGTTACCAAGCTGAGAAAACTTAGGACATACCCCTAAGAAAAACTTAGGAAGAAAACTTAACCTTTTCCGAGTCATGCACTCTTTGGTAGTCTGGTTAAGCTTATGAGGCCCTTCTCTGAATAATGTTTTGTTTTGTTTTAATTCACAATTGAATTAAATGTCAAATTTCAGTTAGAGGTTGGTGAAGATAAATATGTATTTTTCCCATCCAAGGTTATAGGTTCCCTGAAATTTATCTGCAACCTAGGGTGTCTGTGGACTACAGATTAAAAATCTCTGGCTTAGAATACAGGTACAGGGTCATGTTGCATGTTGTAAATAAATGACTAGCCTAGCTGATTGTGGAAAAATCCCTCACCAGAGGGTCAGCTACTAGATGAGAAATTTGCGTGACCTTAAGAATGCCTAAAGGCTCTCTCCTGAGCTATGGACTGAGTAACTATACATACAAAGTTATATATTTTAAAATATTCAAATTAATATAATTGGGACAAGTGTCTAAGTGAAATCTAATTGTGCTAATAAGATCAAGATCCTATATTTTCATCCCACATAAGTCATTAAATCATTCTCTTTTTAATGGGCAATGACTCCAAATCCTACCCTATTATCTCACAAATTGTTGCCACTAATCTCAAGAGAAACCAGTTAAGAACCACAGTGCGGTGGAAGAAGACAACATGAAGAAGTGAGAGTGGGAGAAAGCATAGGGATTGTTAAATACACTGTTAACTAAAGAGTTTTCCAGAGACTCATCCAAGGGAGCTTTCTGAAGATTCAGGGAGCAAGATGAGGGGTTGTGCATCAATTTCATTGATACTTCTGCCCACGTCTACATTTCAAGAAGTTAAATTTTGGAGCTTGAAGAAAGGGACACTGGTGTTTTCTTGAGATACTGGTTATGATTTTCCATTGATTCAACATGGAAGTGTACAGTTAATAGGGCAACTAGGTGGCACAGTGGATAGAGTACTGGGCCTGGAGTCAGGAAGACCCAACTTCCTGAGTTCAAATCTGGCCTCAGTTACTTACTAGCTGTGTGATTCTAGGCAAGTCACTTAACCCTGTTTGCCTTAATTTCTTCATCTGTAAAATGAGCTGGAGAAGGAAATGGCAAACCACTCCATTATCTTTGTCCAGAAAACCCCAAATGAGGTCATGAAGAAAACTGAACATGACTGAAGAGAACTGAACAACAACAACCAGGGTCGTATGGAATATGGCAGACAGACAAAAAGAAAAGTTCCAAAAGTTGTTGTTAAGTATAATATGTGCCATGGAACCTGTGGCAGAGATAGCAACATATCTAGTCTTTTGGTATTTTCTTTTTCTAAGATCTCAAGCAGCTTGCAATGAAGTCCAAAGATTTTCTTGAGATACACATAAT